AAATTTATGAAAAAATTCATTGGAAAAACATTTTTGGGGAATGTCTATTTTTTCTCAACACTATCAAATTCTTCTTTTAATCAACTGCTTTGGTGGTTTTGGACAATTTTTCTTGCATCTAATCCTCAACACCTAGGGTTTGATCTTGGCTGTGTTAAATTACAGACTTTAAAATAAGCATTTTCACATTATAATTGTTCACATCTCTCTCCTTTGGTCTTCCTTGGCAATCTTACAACACATGCTTCTTTTTGTCCCCAGCGTACGCTTTTGCAGGGAACATACAAATACCGTGCATCCGTCCGTTCGTCCGTCCGGTCTTGTTAGCGCTCTCACAGGTACAATTCTTGTCAGATTTTTAGCTCACCTGGCCTGAAAGGCCACGTGAGCTTTCTCATCACTTGGCGTCCGTCGTCGTCTGTTAACTTTTACGAAAATCTTCTCTGAAACTGCTGGGCCAAATTTAACCAAACTTGGTCACAATCAATATTAGGGTATCTTGTTTAAAAAATGTGTCCGATGATCCTGCCAAACTTAGCCTAAATCATCCTTAGGGTATCTAGTTGACATGGCTAAAAATAGAACATAGGGGTTAAATGCAAGTTTTGCCTATTATTTTGAAAACTGCTATGAATAGAGAAAACACGACAAGGCTAAAAATGTTCAGAATGTTGATCTCTACCAATTGTACATTGAGTTATTGTCTTTAGATGATGAATTTTAACATTTTTTAAAAATGTTCGCCTGTTATCTTGAAAATTATAATAGATGGACAGAAATTTTGAAAAGCAAAAATGATCAGCAAGACAAAATCTACAAATAAGTCAACATGGCTAAATTATTTAGTCGATTCCTTATTAGGGTGGTTGTTCTATAATGACGATTTTACAATTTTTTTGCGTGTTTGCCTTATATCTTAAAAACTATATTAGATAGATAGAAACTTTAAATAGCAAAAATGATCAGCAAGACGATTTCTATAAATAAGTCAACATGACCTAAAAGGGCCGAGTGAGCTTTTCTCATTACTTGGCGTCCGGCGTCGTCGTCAGTAGGCGTCCGTTAACTTTTACAAAAATCATCTCTTCAACTACTGAGCCAAATAAAACCAAACTTAGCCTAAATCATCCTTAGAGTATCTAGTTTAATAAATGTATTCGTTAACTCCGCCCATCAACCAAGATGGCCGCCATGGCTAAAAATAGAACATGGGGGTACAATGCAGTTTTTGGTGGAAGAAGACTTCAAGTCTTCTGAAAGCCTTCACTGCCGGCTGTAAAATCATTGAACCGTTACCAGGTTGTATGCCGTATCCCTTTCTGTGTATTACAATTTGATTACTTCCGTGCCATTTCGTGACACCGATTTTTACACATGATTAAGCATCTGCATCATTTAATTTATAGGTTCGGCTTGAAAAACAATCAATATCGTAAGTGTTATAGTTTCTGATGTTTTAATGTAAAAATATATACCCTTTTATTTATGTAGATTATTAAATTTCATCTCATCTTACATGAACGTTATTTGTTTACTTGTAACCGGATGTTTTTAATGTAGATTATTGTACGCATGCGAGCATTTGGTATCGGGTCGGTTCGCACTTTTTAAATGTTCGCCCTTGGTCTGTTCGTCCTAAGTTCTTTCGCCCATAGATTACGTTCGCCCTAAGTTCCTTCTACTTACTTTTATCAATGACGTTTTATACGTCCTTTCATTTATTAAAAAATATTAATATTAAGGGTATTCAATTTTAATAAACTTATTCAGATATTTATATGGTATAAATTCTCGAAAGTCATGAAAACACATGAAAAACAATAATTAAAAGTTGATGGCTTGTCTTGGAGCATTAATAGGTCCTGATAATAATTCTCTGATTGTTGTAATAATTGTCTTTTGTAGATTAATGATTGGAATTATCGGAATAAACCAACTGGATTATTCGGGTGAATCTAAACCATTTTGGTTACATATCTGCGCATGTGCACAAATGGGAAATTTAATTGACAATTTGTGCGTACGAAAGTTTCAGAATATTGATAAACAGAATTGCATATATTCATACAATCCATCTTGTGTTAAAGTCAAGTTTCTTCGTGGAGAGTACGACTTCAAATCAATGATGCTTGAAAAAATACACGGATTGGGTTGTTCCGTCTACGTTTAGATCTTTAATGCAATCAAGTCATATTCCAGTTTTAGACAACATGTGTTTTTTAATACGAAAGTTAGAATATTTTAGTATGTTATTGCGATAATAAAAAGTCAAGCGCACACGTGAATCTGCTGGTGTGTTACACATCAAACGATGCACCGTCGGTCATTGTCGAAATGTCCCCAATGATTGTCTTTATTCCATTACGATTCAAAGTTTTATAAGTGACCAAAAACGTGATCTTGACAGCTAAATAGTCCAGCTCTTTACCGTTATTCGTCATTTAGGTACACCCATTATAGAGGCTCGAGTACGGAACCAGTTTGAAATGCTGATAAGTGCCCAAAACCCAATTCTTGGCCTGATACATATCTGCATTGGATATATTTAGAATTTTTCAATATCTGTTTATAATGAAAACCCTAGTTTTAGCGAACTTAACTAAAATCTTGGTAGCCAGTTTTTTTAAGGCCAACTATATACCTTTGACAGAAAACTTTTAAGTGAAACCAAATCAATTAATGTTATAATTGCTTGGCGAATTTGCATTGCATCAAGTTGACCTTTCCAAGACGAATGTATGGAATCTGGTTATAGAAAAATTAATTTGAATCAACAGTATTTGCAGATTTTTATGTTAAGTATAGTGAGTTTTGGTTGAGTTATATTATGAGTCTAACTATTTTTTGAAGAGAAAAATACGTCAAAAGCAATAATGGGACAAAGCAGACTGGTTTGGTGGGGCTGCTCTTAAGGTAATTCAAGTTACCTTTTATGCATCTTCTTCCACCTCAGAGCAATCAGCTCTTTGATTTGATTATATCTCTGAAACTAAAGCATTTAGAGCAAATCTGACGTTAAATTGTTCATCATGTCAAGATCTATCTACCCTGAAATTTTCAGACGCATCAGACAACCCATTGTTGGGTTGCTGCCCCTGAATTAGTAATTTTAAGGACATTTTGCAGTTTTTGGTTATTATCTTGAAATAATACATGTTATAATAGATAGAAATAAACTGTGAACATATAGATATTTATACCGTTAGATAATCTGTAAGATTGTTTTTGTTGGATTGCTGTCTTTTTTTAACCTATCATCACCAGATAAACTGTAAACAGCAAAAATGTTCAGCAAAGTAAGCTCTACAAATAAGTCGACATGATCAAAATTGTCAACGACCCCTTCAGGAGTTATTGCCCTTTAAAGTCAATTTTTCACAATTTGTCGTACATTTTTGTAATCTTTTACAAATATCTTCTCCACTTAATCTACTGGGCCAAACAGAAATAAACTTAGCCACAATTTTCAATAGGGTATCTTGATTTAGAAATGTATCTGGTGAAATTGCCATCCAACCAAAATGGCCGCCATGGCTAAAAATAGAACATAAGGGTTTACTATAGAAGTCCATGGGAAAATTGTAAAAAAAAATTTCAAATGGTCACAACTTGAAAACTAATTTAAAAATGATAAGGGGTCTTCAGTAACTATTGTAAGACTACAATGGGATGACCTGCTTTTAATTTAACTACTGGGCTAAATTAAACCAAACTTGGTCTCAATCATTTTTGGGATATCTATTACTATTTATTATGATTTAAACCTTATTTTACATGATTTCCAAAACCACAATAGATACAGGTGAGCGACACAGGCTCTTGAGAGCCTCTAGTTTGTGTATTATCTCAAAACTATAATAATATAATAACTTTAAATAGGAAAACATATCAGCCGGATAAGATGTACAGATATGCCAACATGATTGAAATTGCCAGTTAACTCTTGATAGAATTATTCCCTATTAATGATGATTTTTACTAAAAAGTGGTCAATGTTGAAGATGCAGGTGAGCGACACAGCCCAGCAAACAATTCAACATTTTAAAAACGTTTTAAAAATGTTTTGTTTTGGTTTCTAGAATGTTTTATTAAAACGTTTTAAAAACCAAAATTTGTAGACTCTTATAAATGTTTCAAAATCATTTTGAAGAAACGTTATTTTGGAACATTCAGAAAACGTTGAAATAAGGTTTTATGAAAAACGTTTCTGTCAACCTCCAACAAACATTTTCAACACATTTGTGTAACAATGATGCATTAGTGCGACCACATTACTTTGGTTTAAAAATATATAATTGATTGTGCAGTGTTTTGTATTTCATTCATTTCCTAATTGGTAATGCACGTGTTTTATTGAAGAAAAAGCAACATCTCCATAAGCTTGGATGGATGGTTGGTTGTTTAACGACCAGTGGCAAGTCAGATGCATATTCTTGATGAGAACATGATTATTAGAAATTAATACCCTGTCTTGTAATAGACCAACATGTTGTGCCAGATTTTTTGGTTCTAGCCCACAAGGCAAGTTTGCAGGATGACATGTCACATTATTCTGACTACGGCCAAAGAAGTCTTTACTCTAACTCATTTTGGGGAGAAGCAACAAATGATAATTTTATTGTCATTGGTTTGGCCAGGCCGAAGTTCCGACCCACAACCTCCGCACTTGAGGCGACCACACTCAGCATTACACCAAAGCTCTAAAGGAAGATATTCTTTATAAAACTATGCCAAAGCAAAGCTTGTCAACCCCTAACTGTTTAAACTTGGTCCTGTGACCTTGAAAGTGAATTCAATAAGGTCCTTGCATTGACAAGGAGATAACATATCTCTTAAGCCGAGAATTTGACATATTATCATAATAACTTCAATCAATGATCTAGTTTTTAACCAAAGCTTCAATTGTTGCAGAAATTGGAATATAGTTTTATAAATATCTTTAATCACTTTGCAACCAAAAAAAAACAGTACTGACAGGACTAAAATCAGTAGAATCAATGTACTTTTAAACAGATTTATTTGTTCAGACTCCAATTCTTCTTGCGCAATCGTCTGTCCTTTTCTTACAGGTTTCTGAAATGATCAAAAGCAATTTTTTAACGAGATCAGTACGCCCAAGTACACTGTTTAGCATATAACTCTTAACCCCAGTTAGTTGTTGTACTCCCTTTCAGTCAAACTATTTCATTAAATATATAAAGGGGAAATTATGCTATTTTTTGCAATCCAAGTAATTATTAAGATAGGCAAAAAACATAAATAATATTTTACATGTCAAAAGCAATTGCTACAAATGTATATCTCAATGATTTACTTGCAGGATAAAGACAATAGTTCCATCGTCAAGAACATAGCAATGTATTATTCTAATGTCTCTAAATAAACAGAAGTTCTGCATGGTTGGCAAATGTTATATTGCTATAAGTGGCTCAGAAATTTGTGTATAGATATTCAAATTGCAATAATAAACTTTTAAATAAATAAAACCTTCCACTTAAACGTATATTAAGATATTTTATTCAATTGAAAAATACCTTATATTTTGGTCCTCCTGGCTTGTGTGGGGCCTGTTTTATGAAGTCAATTAAGACTCCCTCCATATCGGAAACCTTGGATTTAAGAACACTCTTGCACAACTTTCTGAAAAAATATTACAGAATTAAAAAGATATATTTCATTATTATTTTTAACTTCTTTAAACTTTTATATATATATATATATAATAACTTTATGTAACTTTGCACTCTGTTTCTATCTAAAATAATAAGTGAGAAACATTATATTCATATTCATCATATGAATTCTTTTTGAGATTAAAGTCAGATAAAAAATCCAATCTTTATTAATGGCATTTGCTTTTAAATGTTCGACATATTTTCTAAAACAACTTACTCATGATTATCCTGCACAAAGGGTGACCTGTGAATGCCTCTTTTCCCTTTTGCCCCTTCAGACTGTATTTGGCCCATAACTGATTAGTGCCACACTTTTTCATTATCCTTCCTATACAGTTTGAAGGGCTGTGACCACCCTGTGACACCAAATACTGGACCTACAAAATTACAATTTAGTCCTGTTGTTATTTATTTATTTTTCGTGAAATCAAATATTTGTTTTATAAATAATCGTGTCCATGTACCAATCTTAGCAAAACCTACTAATATTATTGCCTAAAAGATATTTTATTTCTTGTCCGTATCGAGTTTCTTTAATTATTTTCCATGTATCGTATGACGTTATATGCAATTTTATATGCATTTGAATGTTTTTCTTCAATTACAGGTTTATTCTATTAATGCATGATTTTTTTATTCATATATATAGCATGTTTCGCTTATATATATTTACTTTAAATTAATATATATTACCTTTAACTGTTAAAATCTGATTTGACCTTTTCTCGGTAGATTGTTCTGGTGTTACATTATAAACTTTTACACATCTATTTATTTGAAAGGATTTCCCCAACGTAAATGATCTGTGGTAATCAACACTGGTCGTATATGAATTTCTTTAATTGATGATATTACACCTGGTGTTTCGGATATCATTCAGGTCAAGTTCGACCAAGGCCGTTCATCCTCGTCAGGTGCCCTTGCGTAATATTTTTATTTAAAAAAACATTTGATTATGATTACTTTTTAACTGTTATCAATATGTTTCTATCGTGTAACGTATCAAATGCAGTTACATTTTGCGGTATACTGAATTGTTCATGACTGGCAAGTTACAATCAATTTATTTACTATTTTAAGTCAGACATCATATATCTTGTAAAATGAGGCCCAGCACTGGCAGCACGGCTATGGGTAGTCCAAAAAAAAATATGACGTCTTGAAAGGATATTTTTGATTTTTGCTGTTGCTACGAAGTTGGAGGAGGGCGTCCACATTTTTTTTTTTGTCAAATAAGAAAGCCGTACAAAACGTCGTTATTATTTGACTACGCTCTGGGTAGTTTAAATGATTAATTATGCTGTCTTCGGATGCTTGTTTTTATTTAACTCGTGTAAAAGTCAGACCAGTAGCCCACAAGGCATGACAAAATGACACGTGATGGCATCATGCAGTGGTGAATGTGAATGTATGCCTGTAGTAGTTAAATCTGTGAATCATGTAAACACTACAAAAGTCTATAAGTCTGAAAAGACCATTTTTTGTCTTAATTTGCATGAACTTTTACTCGACATTCTCCAAAAGTATGACTTGTGTCTGTCTTAATTTTTCTTGACAAATTCTCATTTACATTAAATTTGTATGAAATTTACTCGACATATTCTCGACATTCTGAATATGGTCTTAAAATTTCTTGACAAATTCTTGACATTTGAATATTGTCTTCAAATTTCTCGACATATTCTCGACATTCTTATTTTTTCTCAGTATGGCTTGACATATTCTGAACATTTTGAATCGTGTCTTAAATTTACTTGACAGTTCTGAGTTTTACAAATCATGACCAATATTCATGATATAACTTTAATCTTTATTTCTCTTTATATGATATACTGTTGTTTCAAGTTACACTTCTTTACAACAAAAATAAAAGTTGGGCATGTAAAATAATTGAAAATTTGGGTATATAAATATTTTTACAAATGCAAATATGGCTATGAAATCTAAAGTATAATATAATTCAAATGTGGGTGTGTTGATATAAAACAATTTCAATGTGGGTTTTTAAATAATTACAAATTTTTATTCCTAAATCTTATAAATTAAATGATTCAAACCAATCATACTGTAGACATATTTCATTCTACATTCATAATATTCAATTTTGATATGGTAAATAATTATTATACCAAAATGTGGTTTATATAAATAGCAAATTATGATGATATAAAAATCATTCATTTAACAGAAGAAAAATTTGTGTAATGTCATCTGTTGGAATATATTAAGTATTACACATGGACAGGATGTTCCTCATAAAATTAGGGTATTCCACACCCCAGAGTACACGCAACTGTCAAATAGAAGTTATTGCTTTACCTGTAATCAGCCATACAACTTATCAGTTGACCGACCATGCCACTACAATTTAAAAAGTTTGTTGATAGATGAAAATGAAAATCATCATTTTGATGAAAAAAAATTGAATTGAAATGGATTTTCTTCATCAAAATTATGAAGTTAATTATTTTAACATTAAAACAAATTGAATAATTCCCAAAGATTAAAAGAAAATTATTATCTACTCCAGGAATAATAAAAAAAAATGTATTTATGATGGGTCCCATCAATGATTTCTATAGAAATCATCGGTCTTATGAAATGGTTCTCAAACAGACATGCATAATATAGATCTAAACATTTCTTTCTTTTCAGGAAGGAGTTATCACAAATATTTATTTTTGATAAAAAATTATAAAATTCAACACTCAAATTTGAATAAAAAATGTTTTTGGGTTGTTCTAAAAAGTGAATAAGGTTTTTCAATCAAGATGGGAACAAATTCTTTGACCTAAACGAAAGCCCCCCCCCCCCTCTTTTTTTAACCACACAAACACAAAAGATGAATTGTGGGGTCCAAAAGAGATACAAGACACCTATTTTAGTAAAGCAAATTTGACTGGCAGTTTTGCGAACGGCAAAAATCTAAATGCTGTTTGTCAATACTTTCGACTTATATTCCAAGTGAAAAGAATTACTTAAATGTTTAATAAAAATAAATCAAAATTAAACTACATGGGGGATTATTCAGGGTATTCCAACTTAGTTGCACCAAAAGGGTATCTTACTATACCAAATTAATCCTTGATTCTTCAAAGTTTAGTTTAGCCATAACAAAAAGGAGTATATAACAGCAATAGAATGTCAATGTCATAAACAGTGCAAAATAAGTCTGTTCACATTTCAGGCGAAATTTATACTGTCGAGATAGTGTCAAGACATACACTACAAACCAGTAAAGTCTGAAATGGCCTATATCTGTACTCGACTGTACTGATTTTTACTCGACCAGTCTGAATTGGTCTGAATTTTACTCGACATTACTCGACCCAAGTCTTAACCATACTCGACCGTACTGATTTGTACTTGACCCTTATCTTTGCCATTGAAAATAGTCTGAACTATTACTCGACCAGTCTGAAACAGTCTTAACCCATTCTCGACCAATTTTTTCAGTCTAAACCATACTCGACCAAAGGTCTGAACAATACTCGACCAGTCTGAACCATACTTGACCAAAAAACCTAAATTTTTTTTAAATTTTAGCTGTTTAAATTAATTTCTTTTTTTCTGACATGAAAACAGCCACAATAAAATAAAGATATATACAAAAATATATTTTTACATCCTTACATGATTCTCAGATTTATCAAATAGAGATAGTTAAATTAAATTATCTTATATAATAATTTAATTATATCAATTTTAAAGTTTTAGAGTTTTGTTAAAAAAAAGATTTTCTTTTAACTAAAAACCACACCTTTACTGTGGGTAATAAAACCTTATTAAGGTGCTTCTTGTTTGGCATGTGTGTTTTGGTTTTTTTTAAACTTAATTTTCCTAAATTCCTAAAGAAAACCTATATAGGTTTCATGGTTATATACAATAGTTATATAATTATCTTTTTAATGAGGTAACAACAGCCAAAAAATCACTGAAATTGTTTAACCTTATATTAGAAATATATCTATTCTTATTATAATCTGGGATATATTATGTATAATATATATCAAAAGGGGATGAAAAAATTAAAGAAATAGATAAAATTTTTCTTTTGATTAGTGGTAAAGTATAAAGTAATACCTCCTGCTTGGGGCAAACTCATTAAAAGATCACACCTGGTCAGAGAGTATTAATTTCTAATTAACATTCATTAAAAATTGCAACATCCTGTAAAACTTAAATCGCAAGGCCTTTTGAATTCACTAGATAAGTAATACACGAGTTTAAGAAAAAAAATAGCTTTCTTTTTACCTGTAAAACACACATGTACTGAGATAAATAAACCTTATTAAAGTGCTTCTTGTATGTCATGTCTTTAATTTTGACAAAAGTTATTTAAATTTAATTGAAATAAATTTTTTCTACAACTTTGGAACACATTTCCTTTTTTAAATGGTTATCAAGGATTGCTATGGAAGTTCTATTATCATGATTATCTTAAATTCTTGGTTTTACAAAACAAAGGTGTTATTTTTAAAATTTATTAAGTTGCTTTATATACTATTTTAAATATATTTTGATAAAAAAAATGTTCACTGCATTATTAACTAAACTCAACTGACACCATAAATCTATACAAGGCTTAAGTAAATGGTGAAAATTGTCCAGTAACCATAAAATATATCTGAAACATTAAAAAAAATTTGAATAACATTGAAAATATTAGTCACAATTCAGTTTTGAGATTATTTGATCAGTTTGTTTTATTTTTTATTTTAAAGGTGATATATATATGTAAGTGTTGATAAATATGGTGTTGAATTTATATTATGTTTATTGTGAAATTTTGGTTTCAATATGCCATATTGAATACATTTTAAATTTCAAATTGTTGTTCAAATTTCTAGCCAGGGGAAATAGCTGTTAAAAACAGTTCCTAAATTGATGAAATACAATAGATAGATACAAAAATTAGGTCTAGGTTGGTGAAGACTTAGTCGAGTATGGTTCAGACTAGGTCGAGTATGGTTCAGACTAGGTCGAGTATGGTTCAGACTAGGTCGAGCATGGTTCAGACGAAAATAAAATGGTTAAGTACTGGTCGAGTACAAGTTCAGACTGTTAAGTATGGTTCAGACTACAGTCGAGTATTATCAAGTAAATTTCAGACCAATTCAGACTGGTCGAGTAAAAATCAGTACAGTCGAGTACAAATATAGGCCATTTCAGACTTTTACTGGTTTGTAGTGATATTTAAGACTGTCAAGAATGTGTCGAGACATATTCAGACATTATTTAGAATGTCAAGAATATGTCGAGACATATTCAGACATTATTAAGAATGTCAAGAATATGTCAAGACAGATCGAGACAAATTTAAGATAGTCAAGAATTGGTCGAGACTAATCCAGACTCTTATCAGATGATACAGGAAGTGTCGAGAAATTTTAAGACAATGTTCATACTGTCAAGACACTTGTCAAGAAAAATCAAGAACCTTATTAGACAAATTAATTCTATGTCAAGAATTTTTAAAAATTATTCAGACAAATTAAGAATGTCGAGTAAAAATTCATGCAAATTC